TTTTACATTAGTTCGAGAGCCAAAAAAAAAACTACGTATTTATACGTTACCGAATGTATAATGTCAGCTCAATCTTGAAGATCGTTCTCGAGAAACTTTCGTCGAGAGCCCATTACGAGGCTGCATAAATATTCGACTGCCAGACTTCGGTGCTTAAGTGGCGAGACAGTTAGCACCGTCGAGACTATTAATACGCATCGCTAGATCGTTAGTCCGTATTCCCGAAGGTAATATTCTTAGTTTGTCTCGGCGAGACTCACATCCTCCTCGCACGCGAGATCCTCCGCAGCAGCCACCGAACGGTTATTCTCGCTCCGCTAAAGCTTCTACTTCGCGAATAGTAATTGGTAATGCGATAAACGAGAGACTTCGAGCTTTTGGAAGTTAGTCTTAACGTTTCTGCTTATATTCGACCGACACGATTATCTTATTCCGAGGTGTAAACGAACGATAAAATTAATTTTCTCAACTAAACTCCGTCGTTTTCCCCGTTCGTGCTATTTCTGTGCTTCGTTTATCACATTCGAATTGAAACCACCAACATGCGTTTTTGTAATTTTATAAAAACACTTTGACTTCAATCAAACATATTTCGATTTGCTCTTTGATATGCGTAGGTATCTATTAAAAATGAAAAGTTAATAAAATAAAATCTAAATATGCGAGAGTCGATATAGTCGATATAGAGAATTGATGTAAATTGATATCGCGTGTGCAAAAGAGGATTAAATAGAACCGAAGAGAATTATTTTTAATTATAAATTATATTTTATCTCGTCAATTATTTACTTAATTTTTAAATATCACATTTATCTGTATTTGTTACATACTTGAAGAATTATTTTACGCTTGTTTATATAAAACAGAAATTGTTTGTGCTGAATTTTTCATAAAGTTCGAAATTTTCAATTTTAATTTTTACTCAAATGGGGGAGGGATCTATTTCTAAAATAATTTTATTACACATACAAAGGTCACAGACACAAGACTATATGTCGCGACTAATGTAATATGACGAAAATGTTTGACAATTGTAATATGCATTTATAGGCTTACGATCGACGCTCGTGTAATTATAATTTTCTACAAACGCGCGCGCTCGCGGAAATCCGGCAAACGGAATATTACAAGCAGCGAGCTTGTAGCTCGGACTTCATCACTGATTTATGTAACCGCGGTATAACGATGCTATTATATCGAACATAGAAACGCATCGTTGCTGCATTGATTATCAGGAAATAGTATGCAACGATTTAATATGTACACCGTTCAATCAGTCTCTCTCTCTCTCTCTCGCGCGCGCGCGCGCGCGCGGGCAGCAATTATTTCCACATTATTCTACATCGTATATCCCGTTGTGTTCTAAGTTCGCATATATATGCCGAACGATGTGCCGGACGAACCGATGGATTAACTATAGCGCGGCTCAACCATGATCGACATAAACATATATAATAAACACGTTTATTAACCCTTTGATGTATTATCAATTTTCATCTTGCGCGATAGTTCCGCGCAATATAATTTAGGCTAATTATCAAATGTTCACATTAGTCTCAAAATCTCAATAATAAGCTGATATATTGATAATAAAATGGACGCGATATTTGAAAACTAACATATCTGTTCGGCTAATCGATCGTTCGAAATGGTTGTATATAGATTTCTTTGCGTTATTTTCGCCAGAATGGGTATCGTTCAAAACAAGCGAATTGAATCGCGTCGAAAGTTATCGTTGTAGCGTGTGGCGATCGATCACCGCGCGCGATGTGCTCCCGAAATAAAATCTTGTCCGCGATCTACATCTACGAAGCGACGTAAATGAAATTAGGGCGCGAGAAACTTCGTAAATAATTTGGCAGCGTAAGTCAATTTAGTATTTATGAGAGAGAAAAAAAGATAACGATATAGAATAAAAAGAGGGAGTAGAGACGCACGCGGTTAAATCCAGATCCGGAGAACCGATGCGGTGGATAAGGGAGCGCGAGAGAGAAGGAGGACGACGACGGACGGCCATTAATAAAGCGCGAATCCAACGGTCATGCGCCAATCAGCGACCGTGACAGTAGCCACGACGTAACAAGTATTTCCCATCAGCGCATTCCGCATGCAAGGATTCCAAATCGCGAAACAAGCTCTTCTCCGTTTGATTATAGCGGCAATGCCCGCAGTTCGCCCTTTTTTCGGTCTCGTCTCGGCAGAATTAACGGAAAACTGAAAATCGATAGACGAAATCGGATGTGTGATGAAGATACGTTTGAGAGAAAGAGCGAAAAATGCTCTCAAATACGCGTACTTGTATTCCACTATCTTTTTTCTACGTATCGCGTTAGGAATCATAATCGCGACCGCGCCGCACGATTAAATTTCGAAATTAAAACACTCACCTTGTGTCTTCGATCAGAATATGTTCTTTGAAGTGAGAATAGCGACCAAATAATCTCGGAAGAATCTCTCCTTTCCGAAATTTCCTTCATAAAATTCGCTTTCTCTCCTCTCTATATTATTCTCGTATCGCTCTTCACCACCCCCGTATTGTTCCACGTGCCTACGCATTTCTGTTACGCATACACGTGACAATATCACGACACATCCTAAATATTAAGGAAGTGGATTTTTCGCGTCTTGTGATGTGTGATTAATGTTCTATTTCCCGATGTGGATAAAAAGTGAGTGAAGTGAGAGAACGCGAGGAAGATGAAGAACGATCAAGAAAGAAAGATGGAAAAAAGTAAACGAGAGGAGATTGCGATAGGAGATTAGTACGCATATAACTACGTGTGAAAAAAATAAATAATAGTTTATTTAAAAGTGGTCTTATTGTTCGTTAACTAAATCAATTTTTATTACAAATACGCTATAATTTTTGAATATTTAACTCTCAATCATACAGGATCAATTGTTCATGACGTCATTTTCTGAATTCATTTCTGAAGAAAAGAGACGCAGAGAGAGAGAGAGAGAAAACTATCAAAAGAGAAGAAAAAGAAAGAGAAAAGGAACATCAGTACAGTGTAGTGAAAAGAAAAGGGTGTAATGTGGAGAAAGAAGTGCAGAAGAGAGTACGGTAGAAGGGTGCCGTTTGTTGGCGGTCGGCCGTCGTATACCGCAAATCCCCGTCAACCGCATTCAATTACGATGTTATCGCGAATACAGATGACGGTTATTTCCTTCGGTACACCCTATACATAACGCGCGGCCCTACGGCGACGCTCCCGCGCCAGCAGAAAAGCCGTAAGGCTCTCCCTCTCTCTCTCTCTGTGTGTGTGTGTGTATACGGCGCACTAACGACTAGACCGTGTGATTGTTTCAGGATGTTTCAGAACACGGTTCTCGCATTCGATTTTCGCCGATGACATAGAGCGATTCCACTCCTTTGTTTGTCTCGCGATTCTGCGAGAAATTTCATTTCGAATGAAATTAACGACTTGTCATTAATGAGTTTCAGTTAAGGAATTCATCTTCTTGTTAATTGCACCAAGGCAAAACCATCGTGTATTTTTATAACTTGATATAAACGGTGCGTTTTATGATATATTTTATATTCTAACATACATTATTTATTGTTGTAACAATTCGTGCATATAATTGCATATTTTTTTATTTTTAGTCGAGTTTACTTAATTAATAATTTGTATATTGTAATTTTTTGGGTTGATGTGAAAATTATTTATTCAGCAAAAACAAAAGATGTTGTAAAAGAATTCGCGAGTCATAACCGATATAATCCTTGGTGGTTCTCAGCTGCAATAGTTTATGAGAAAAACCTGTGTACAAACTTGTAATTCCTCTTCATTATACCTACATCGTCCTCGAAACGTTCCTGGTACGGGAATGTCGATACGAGAGGAACGCCAGTCGAGAGATGCCTTGAACCAGTAAAAAATGGACGAAGTAGATTAATTGAGGCCTCCCTCTGCATCCTCCTCCCTCTTTTTCTCGGCGTTTGCCACTCCCGCGAAACAAGCACGTGTTAGAAGAAGACGGGCAGCGAAAAGAGCGACGAGAGAGAAATGGAGCGAGAGAGGGGAGAGGTAAAGGCGGCGGAACGGATGGCCCGGGGGCGAACTTTTTGCCGAACACATAATGCATAGCGAAGGATGACACCCTTATCTCGTGATCTTTAATTCCGTGAGCCGCCGCAAGGGGGTTGCCGCCGCGTCGTCATTTGTCGGTTGCACTGCGACAGAATCGGGGGTGGGATAAAGGGGGGCGGGAGAGGGAGAAGGGGAAGGAGAAAGAGGAAGAGGAGGATGGGCCCACCGGCCGGGTGGATAAAACCGCTGCTGTTAACATCGCCGTCGGATACGTGGGGGGGTTGGAAATTGCCTTGGTTGATTTCATTTCAGGCCAGATTATTTTAAGGGGTTCTCCCTTTCGTTTCTAGATCCCCCGCTTGTCCCCGCTACCACCCTTGCTTGCCTTCGACGTGATTAATGCGACTCTGGACGTGGACGTTGATGGTGGTGGTGGTGGTGTGGTGGTCGGAGGGTCGAGATGACGAGTCGCGGCGGCCACTCGCGCGACGCCGGATTAATTCGCCCGAGCACGCACCGGAAGCGAGCCGAAATTGTTAAAACCCCTTCCGGCCTGAACGCATTAAAGGTGGGTATTACTTTCGATCGTATCTTTTACCAATGAATAGCGTGGAGTGCGAATTAAAACAACTTTTGCGCGCCGTTCCCGTAAAAATTAATTAAAGTCAACCAGAGCTTAACGCTATCTTCGAATTACATCACGTAATTTATCGCAACAGTAGAGCTCACCAAAACAGGAAGTGAGACTTTTACCTGGAAAAGATCAATACCGTGTTATGGGCACATTGTAATATTGCGTTACACGCAATGTAATTTTCAACTTTTTTCAAACTTTGCGAAGATTACGTTGCCGCAAACTGCAATTGACAACAATTAATTAACAACATCTGCATCTTATTAGAGCACATCGTAACTTCTGTTTGTTTTGTTTTTATTGAAAATTGCAATCGTAATGGTATAACGCGATCAATTGCGCAGTCATTCGGCGCAGAGTCAGATTCCAAAACTGAAACAACCATCAAGCAAAACGACCTCGTAACTCAACGTGGTAGAACTTATACATAATGTGTGTGTATGTGTATATGCAGCGTTTTCGGAGGCGCGTATACGCAAGTTTTAAAGGAGTTCCACGTCTTATTATAAAGTCTTCACCGCGCATAATAATATTCGGGCTCCGCAGGCTGGCGGGCATTAGGGAAATCGCGTTTCCACCCTTCTCGTATTAGCTCGGATGCCACGTGAGCCGTCTCTTTCCTGTCCTTCTTTTTCATCATCGTAGTTCTCGATCGACGATTTTCGACCGCGCACCGGGACTTACCTCAATTTTTGACTCCTCAACGCGATGGAAAGATTAAGACGAGTTAATCGGTTCGGAGATGAGAGAAAGAGAAGGGGAGAGGGCGAGGGAAGAACGACGGGGACGCGAAGAAGAGTAGGGAAAACGTTCCGAATGCGAAACGCGCGTAGGATCTGTCAGGATATCGAAGATCTCGTAGGACAACGTGTGCGTGGATGTTCTTTGACTGGAAATAAAACAAAAGAAAAAAAACACTCTTGAAATATACACCAGATTGTATTTATAAGAATGTTATATTTTCTCGGTAGTAATGGGCGCTCCCCGCTGGGGAAGGGAGGAGACGGTCGTAAATATATTAATAGAGTCCTCTAGGTAAATAGTATTATATACAGATGGAGATAAAAAACGGGAAAGAGTCTCCCGTCTCTTACTTTTTATTCTCTTTGTTCCTACATATGGGAGATAATGTTTCTTTCTCGCTCGTACTCTTGTTCTATCGTCCGACTTCTCTCTTCGCTATACGTCGCAGGATCTTTGTACTAACGCCGTACGATCACTCGTTGGCTTCGATCCACTGATGCTCGATTTACAAGTGTGTCCAATATGTGTGCAAACTAATTTCCCGTTACACTTTCTCTCTCACATTTCGCAAAAACATATATGTACGTCAATGAACAACAATTTGCTGTCTCGTCTCAAGCCATAAAAATCAGTTACGTAATCACAATTGTTTATTTGATTATTTATCCTGTTTAGCGCATAAAATGATAAAAGTTATGTAACGTAGAAAAATTATAAGAAATTATCTACAAGAGAAATGTATATATCTGCTCGATGCTAAAAGCTGCGATATATTTTACAGTCGCTTTCAGTCCACCAAGCTGGCGGCACAACCGGCCGCGAACGAGAGAAAGTCCGCGGACATACGCGAGAATGAGAGAGACCGGCATTTCCGGCGTCGCGGGAAATTGCTCGCAGTTAATAGCGTTACGAGCTCCAAGTTAATAACATCGCGGCAACAAACGCAGCAAAGAGCAACGTTTCCCATCGGTTTCCTTTTCCTGCTTCGTACGATTACGAATGTATGCCCCGTTTGGCGTTTGGTACAGATAAGCGCCGCCTGTATTTTTGGCATTAAAGCGTTAAAGCTAAGTGACTAAGCCCCTCACTGCTCCGGCGAAAGCTCGCGCGGCTCTCGGCCAGTGGCGGATTAAGGTGCTTAAAGGCCCCCATTTTGTAAACTGTTTTGAGTCTGTTTCATTTCGTTATCAGTGCTAGAGCGCAAATTTTCAATCGTCAAACTTATCAGAAAAAAATCCAATATATTTTATTTAAATGTCATTGCGAACAAACAAATCGGTTCTCTTAAGATTTCTTGCGCGTTTAAGAGCCCAAAAACAATAATTCGCCATCGTCAACGCCGCGAAGATTCGCCGGATGAAGTTTAAGAAAAATAATTTTACGTGACGCGCCGGGTTTGTTTGAAACTAAATTTCTCCACGGCGCACTCTCGTTCTGAGGGGTTCTTAACCTAATCTTCAATTGTTCTTTGGTATCGGCTGTCGCGAACTGATCGCACGCTTGGCGCGCGACCTAATGTTTAATAACAAAAATTTTACGAGACTAGAAGAGCCACGAAAATTAACTTTAAATCAATAATAATGTACTTTTGTATCTCACGTGTCAGACGAATTCGAAAAATCGATGTGCTATGATTCTCGATTTCCAATTTCGAAATACAAAATATGGAAAATTATTTTCTTTCTCTTTTGTGGTTGCGCGAGGTGGTTTGATTAAAAAAAAAAAAAAAAAACCCGGGAGATCGCAGGATTATGGCACGTGTTACAGAACCCCTCGCGCGTGTTCTCTTCACAAGAAATTCGTATTTTCAAAACGGCGTCCTTTTTTACAGACGGACAACGGCGTCCGCATCACGAGTGGAATAAAGAGTCGTCTCGGTGGATCTGCGTATACTGGTAAATTGTTTCATCCTCTTTCGCACGTGCGGAGTCGAATACGACATAGATTTATTTACAAGCGACTCCGCCCCGCCCACGCACGCACGCACGCACTCAAAATCTTCGCACAAACATTCGCGCTTTTTTTCTGCTTCTGTGAAATTATATCTTACACGAATCGTCTAATTTATTCTTACGTGTCTCGAGGACGCACACGTGCACATGCAGCATCATCATCATACCAGGCAACACAAAAGTCTAGGAGACGTCTGAAAGACGTTCGAGAAATTTTACGACGTCATTCAAACGTTTGTGTTGTCCGAGAGAGAGAGAGGTGTTCTTGTGTGTATTCTGTGTGTGTGTGTGTGTGTGTGTATTATATATCCATGTCTGTAGGTAAAATGTATGTCGAGCTTAAGCTCGTATATGTACCTCGCACGTGCGTCCTACGTGTATTAACATATCTTCCATTAAATTTGTTCATTTTTTCCACGATCACAGTAATTCCATTAACCCCGTCACTTTGTCCTCGTAGTTTCGAATTCCAATTTTGGAATTTGTCCGTTTAAGGTTCTGTCCCCTTGGTTCTTCTGTTTCACCCCGTGCTATCTGGCGACTTCTCGGCGACCCCTCAACTCTTTTCAACTCAATTCACCTTATCATCCTTGGAGATGCAACGTATACTTCCTTCATCCCTTTCGAACGAAGAGAAAAACTCCCGTCGGTCTTTAATAACCGCTGAGACACCTGAGCTTCTTCAGAGGCGGCGAAGCCTCGTTTCAGCTGGTCGGCGCCTGCATCGACATCGGAGCTGGTTTCACAGGTCCGAGAGCGGGACCGGACAAGCCGTTGTTGTTCATGTCACCCGGCGCCCTTGGTCCGCCCACCCCTATAGCCGTCCCGTTCACCGTGGGCGTTCCTCCTGACATTTGACCCTGAAGTCACAAAATGTTGGCAAAACGTGAGACGTCACTCTCACGTTAGTCTCACGAAAATCTAACACGTAATCGATATTATCAAGTTTACTGTGTAGAAAAAAAGGAATGAAAGGTAAAAGTTGAACGTACGAATATTCAAAATTTTCCTCTACGTTATTATTAAATAAAAGTTTTTGTCACATAATCGCATTACACGCAAATTGTTTACTTTATGTTTTATTGGTCTAACTATACAATTCCTTCGCACTTACGTTCGGCACGTGATTATGCTGGGCCACCGACTGCCCCAGACCTTGATGAGCTTGGAGCGGATTGTGTCCCGGATGCATGTTCTGACCCGGGGGCGTCGGTGTCGGAGGGAGTTGCCTTTTGATGTATGCCAATGAGGCGGGTGACTGTAACGCCATATTAGCAAAGGCTAGCCTCTCCTCGTAGTCGTACTCGCAGAGAATCTTATTCTCGCACAAGTAAAACCGATCGCCCACGCAAAACCTGCAAGCAAAAAAAAGCACGCTGTGTCGGCTATCGGGGCTGTGCTGTCCGATTCGTTCGACATTTCGCGAGTTATATCGAGTTTCGTTCCCCGACTGGAGATCGAAGGAAAAGTTGAAAGCCGTTTTTTTTTTTTTTTTTTTACATTATAAGTCTCAGAAAAAAAGTACCGCCAATTATTTTCACTGTTCTCGTCTCGTTCATTAACCATGAGATTTGACTCCGGTTCGTCGCTCTTAAAGGACTCAAAAAAAAAAAAAAAATTCTTCAAAGAAATCACGATTAACAAGTGATACCACATTATATTCCCGTCGTACCAAATCTGATCGATGACGAAAAGCCAGCGAAAGAAAAGAATATTCAAAAGAGAGGTGGGGGAGACGAAAAAGGAGTTCCGCTGGATAACGAGCATATCGTAACGCATCGAACAAATAATTATTATCGTGCCTCTGTCCGCGAGCGGCCGCTCGTATCCGCTTTGATCCCGGTTAGGAAATACGAGAACGAAATACGAGAGTACGGCGCCGTGGCGCGGCGCGGCGCGGCGCAGTAGCACGTCGGCCCGAGTCTGGCTCGGGGTAGATACTCTCATAATCGCACGGCAAATAGAATTATCGCGTTGCTGCGCGTGGCCGTGTGGCAGCAAGCGCGCGGCTTATACCGGGTTTCGCTCGTTTCCCCCATTATACGCGTCGTCTGCTAAATGACGCCACACTCCAGTCCCGGATACCTATCCCTCTCTCTCACTCTTCTTCCTTTCTCTCTCTCTCTTTCTCGCATTTAACAGTTTCTCCACTTTCGTTTTACTTAACTTTTAGAAAAATCCACTCTGAGTTTTCTTCGCACGTAAATTTGCACTAATTACATATAATTACATAATAGATGAATTTGCGACTTTTTTTTATTTTATGTAAATTTTTCAGAGCGCGTGTAATGTGTGTCAAAGTATTTTAAGAAAAAGACACGTATCTAGTTGTTTCCCTAAAAATTGTACTACACATTTATATTGCAAAGATTTTCAAGTTCTCAACGGAGTTCATTTCTCTATTTCTCTCCAACAATACGTAATCAAATACATGTGTTTCAATCTTTTGTGTGTCGCACAACAGACAAAATGAATAACAAAAATAAAGATTATAACGAGCGCAAATTAAATGAATTAATTAAAACACAGCTTGTTATTGATATTCTTACAGCTCTTGATCACATGTACGCGCGATATGATCGACGAAAGCACATTTATATCTCACCGTTAGTCATATTTCCCATTAATCTTTGAAGAGAGGAAAGGGGGAGGAAAGAGGAGTGGGAAAGAGCGGACAGGAAGGGATACAAAAAAAAAAAAAATTAATATCCGCCAGGCGCCACGGCAATGCGCACGGCTTAAACGAAAATAATCCTTGTAACGCTTTGGATACCTTTTTTGACCGTCTGGCTGGAGGCAGATACTGTCATAATTGCGCGGGCAATAGAATTATCGCGTTGCACGAGCGCAGTCATTCGCGGACCTTCCATTATGCGCGCGCGAATAATGCCGCGCAAAGCCCGATCCTTTCTCGCGAAAACGGCGCAAATGTCTGCCGCGAAACGATATCGGCGCGCACGCTGACCCCTGTAATTTTCCACCTAGCCTATCCGACATTCATTTTTTTTTTTTTTTTACATTGCCGAACGACGCTTCTCGCGACCTGCTTTTCTATACGACATTAAGGAATGTTAAGTGTGAGAAGTATAATTCTATTCTCTCGAGTCAAAGCTAGTGTCAAATTTATCTCTACCCTGACATTGAAGAGATGATAAAAAAATAATTATTTATATAATTATGTATAAAAATTTGTTTGTGTGAGACTAACAGTCACACAAATCATTTTTTATTCAATTTTATTTAAAGAATTTCAAAGAGCAGGAAACTATAAAAAAAACTTTTTGCAAACCGACCTAATGAGCAAAATGTATAAGTAAATTTTGAAAAAGTTACAGTTCCCTCCCCCTCTCCCGTTTTTTGTTTCTGAACCTTAAAATGTTTTCGAAAATATCCGCCATTTTTACCAGCTTACACAAGGTGTCTCTCTTTTCCCATTAAAACGCGAAAGTATTTTATCCACCGTTATAATCGAAATATTAAAATCGTGCCGGGCAAAAGGCCCTTTTACAAAGTTTTAATTTCCATCGCATCGGAGCTCATCCGCGTAACGTTCGCGCGGAACCAAGTCATAAACGTTTAAAATTTGATTTATCTCTCTTTCTCGCGTACATCGCAATGAGAACAAATTCGCCACCGCCGTGCGAGCGCTTTATTACAGCAAGCAAGCGCATCTAGCACGCCCGCACCTACGTAATTGGCGCAATTCCGTAAGTGTTTCCATTCAATTTTCTTTTTATTACGTGCCTGCCGCTGCAGCCCCTCTCCTTTCCCTCCCCCCCTTCCCTCCTCTTCGCCCGCGTCGCACGCACACTCCGGGATACATCACGTTGTTTATGGTCGTTTTGACACGTTTCACGGCACCCGGGAGCCTGCGATGAGCTGGCAATTTCTTCACCGTTTCGAATTCACAAGATTACCAGGAAATTGTATAGCTTCGCGTACTCGTCAGCAAGTCGTCGCTGAGTTTGCCATTCCGTTATCGATTACAAAATCTCTTGGATGAAATTAGGCCGAAACAACGTTTACTTCAAATATTATATATAATATATTAAAAATATCAAGTCGCTGCGATTGCGACGACCTTTGATCGAGATATTCGAGAAAAACATCACTTCGACCGGTATGAATGAAAGAAGATGTTTCGGTCTCGCGAAAGATGGTTCAAGTAGAATGAAGTCGTGAGAACGACTCTCGGGTCTACATAGAAAATTTCAATCTGGGTGTGGTGCTCAGATAACTCGGTTGAATCTTTAACGTGAACTGTAGGACGACAATGGGGAGAGGAGATCGAGGAAAGGCACCGGACGATACCGGTAGGAGGAAGCGAAACCGAGCGTGAGGACAACGACATACGGTCGACAAGGTGCAAAGACGAAAAGGAGCCGACGCGATTCAATAAATGATACCACTGGTGGCAATGCGTGACCCCGTTAGAGAGGCACTTTACGGACCGCTCCGTCGACGTGGCCATAGCCCTCAAAGAGTAATACCGTCTCTGCGCGAGCTTCGGCGCATTAAAGTTTCAACGGCTCCGCCGTGTGCATCACTCCGGTAACTCCAGTTTCTCAGATAAAATCTTGATTCGACGCACCGCGGCGTGAATCGCGGAAATTGCGGGCCAAGTGTCGAGTCTGTATTACAGAAAAAAAAAATACGCGAAGAGAAATGAATATAATCACACTCTGCGATATTGTTATAAAATAAAATATAGTAGCGTAATACATATGAGATAACGATAGCAATTGGTTGCTCTCCTCCCGTGTGTTTTCAACTTATATTACAAACATTGAATTATTATTTTACATACATATGTAAATAAATTTGCAAAACACTTTCATCTTAATAATGATTTACAGTAAGTTTGTCCAACTTTCTGCTTTTTATTCTTATAAATTATTGTACTCTTATAAGAGTTTTGTAAGCAACTTGGAAACAAACAAAATTATTTCCGAATAAAAACTTTCGCGTTGGTAATTTCGTTCTGACGCGAGATATCCAGAAATCCAAGTTGCAAGGGCAAAAGTTTAATCGAGTAGTCATTATGTTTGACCGGATTCGACGGGAGCAGCGCAAGCAAAGAAATCGAGGGGAGCAGATACGCGCGATGCCCGCGCTCTCACATTGAGACGCTTACGCGAATGTGTGTTTGTATACGTGTAAATTCATCGGGGATGCGCGAGTGGGAAAGAGAGAAAGAGACGAGGTAAGCGAGCGACCTAGCGAGCAAGAGAGAAAGAGAGAGAGAGAGCTAATTGCATCGGTAAATCATCCTCTAACCAGGAGGGTGGGAGCCTAGTCGCCGCCACCGGCAACCCTTTATTCTGTGTTATTACAGTCTAAAGTTACCCCGTGTAATTGTTGCTGTTTAATTGCAAACTCTAAGTCGTCTCGTTACAGGACGCGCGCACAGCGCTACGAGTAATTGCCCTCTTCAAATTTACCTACCTGCTTTTTAGCGACGCGATCGCACACGGGAAGCGCAGGGAACATTCGCGCGCCGAATATTCCGCATCGGGCATATTTTATCCGCGCGCTCGCGCGTTTGCCCCGCGCGCTTCATAATTGCGCTCGTGCATCATCCGCGACACGCAAACGCGATTGTTGTAAACAAATGTAATGGGCCGAACTGAGTGCAGCTGTCTCAATTTACTTCAAGTCAATTCTTCGCTATATTCGTTTCCCAGTCACGACGTCGGCGATTCTTTACTCGCGTCTTTAAACGTCACGCGTTTCTTCGCCAAAGGACTCTTTCTCCCCCATCCTCCTTGGCTGTATTCCGTGCGGATACGTTTTTGATCCTGACGTGCGACGTGTTTTACCACCCTTTGCGCGCGATCAAACCCATCCCTCTGGCCTCCTCTTCACCGGCGGTTTTCGCCATCGAGTCGTACGAGCGGGAACATTGTCAAAGATAGACAATGCCGGACGATAAAAACGTAAAATTGATGCTCTTTTGTTCACATTGTTTGAGACGCTGCGCAACGTTTGCCGCACGCCTGGACAAACCATTGCTATTGGCTTTCAACTACATCCTCCACCTCCGGCTCTTCTATCATACCCCCCCATGCTGCCACTCTCCGCCGATAGAGCAGCCACCCTCTCTCCCTCCCTCTTCGCTATCTGCGCTCTCCTGAACGTTGTTACCCCCAAAACGAGTCACTTCGTCCGTAAGCCGGCATTGTGCGCGCTTCGCCGGCTTTGTGCTCTCGTTTGTACGTTTGCCGCTATTGAATCGCGACAGGAGCCGCCGCCGCCGCCTCGTCGTTGCTACATATTGTTTACACGTCATACCGTGGCCTCCGGATAATTAAAACAACCGCAAAAAAGAATAAAAACTGGTTGACGGCACGCGACTCTCCCGCCCGATAGAAATCCCCACGCCAGTTGGTTTTACTTCACTCTGTGTTTGTTTTTTCATTTCTTTCTTTTTTTTCGTTTTTTTTTTTTTGTTTTTTTTATTTATATCTCACGATATCGTAAAAATCAACGGTACACATATATCTCAACGCCGCGAAGATGATCTCGATCGGAATGCGAGAATGTCAGCGATATTACTCTTGGATATTACGTAACCGATTTTGAAAGACGGAACAGAGAAGGATGGAAAAGGAAGAAGGCGTTTATCCTCGCCCCCGGAGCAAGTCCTCCGAGGATATTGCTAAGAAACTTATGGAACTTATAAACTTGTATTGGAATATAAAAGGAACTTAAAAGAGGCAAAATTCAAAAACCATTAAAATTGGAATCTCACGCTTAATCTCCCGTCAGCTCATCACTCAACTCTCGTAACAAATCATTTGTGGCCGCAAAAACAAAAACAAAAAATCCGGTTACCAATCCGATTATTTTCATTTATTATCGTCGAATTTTATTTCACACTTTTCGTTCTCTTGCTTGCTCAGTACTTTTGTGTTAATATTGCTTTGCGGTATAAATTAAATAAGTGGATAGCATGTTGTGCATTTTTTTTTTTTTTTTTTTTTGGTGAATGAAAGACCCGCAGAGAAGCGCGCGCGAAGACGAGCCGCGAGGTTTCATGATGAAGAAGTCGAAAAATAGCAACACGAGCGAAAGAAGAGGTCACGGCAAGGAAAGCGCAGGGTGATTTCCCAGCTGACCTGTAAAGCAACCTTCCTCCGTCAGGCTTTGTGTCTCACGGACTACCAGTTTCTTCCCCGTGGCCGTTTCTTGCTTCCTTCCTGTGTCCACGCGGGGGAAGATGTATCGCCGTGAACGGCAAGAGAGAAGAGAAAATGTGAAAGAGGGATCAGTAATTTACTGATTCAAGTCTCTCAACCAGGATTTTTACGTGGCACGGTAATTTTTAATAATTGAACAATTTTGATTTTCTGATCCGCGGGATTGCGGGACGATACCGAACAGGTTGCTGGATGTTTTGCAGCGGGTTGAATGAATAAAGTAATTAATTCCCAAACGTTTCGACTTAATTTATCGAGTCATCGTCAGATTTGGGGTTCTTAATATGACTTTCAAACACAAATCACCAAATTGTTTTAACGATGAATAAAACTATATAAATCTCGATTTTGTTTTCTTTTGGAATAATTTTAATTTATAGCACAAATTACGAATACTTCAATTACTTCGTGTGTCAATTTCAGAATAAAAGATCTGCTCGCGCGTTAGATTAGTTTTAACGTTTCCTAAATTTCAAACGCTCGTGTTTGAAATAAAAAGAAAATCATGTAAATTACATGTGTTTGGTAAAACCAACAGATCTGCTATAAATAAAAATTATCATTATCACTCACCGATGGGTGCATTGCTGACAGGCGAAACAATCGAGATGATAAACGTTCGTTCTGGCCCTCATGACCATTTCGAACGCCGGTATTTGTTTGTTGCACGCCGCGCAACATCCCGTGTTGCCGAAGAGCCTAAGGTAGTCCCTCTTACAGAGGATAAGATTAGCTTTGGTGTAGAGGGTAGAACCGACTTCTCCTAACCTACAGTCGCAGCATCCGCATTTGAGACAGTCCTCGTGCCAGTAGAGGTCCAAGGCCTTGAGGAGATACCTGAAGAACCGACCGCAGTTCTCGTTCTTACCGGCCGTTAAGACTTGGAAATTCCTCTTTTATCTCGATATATTATTTTATAAATATTTTGATATAACGTGACGCGCGCGCGCGCGCGCGTTTTCATAGAAAACACAAAGAATCATAGAAAGTGACAAAACTTGACTTACTTCGAGTTATTTCTTCAAACTATGCGCATATGTCTCTCACAGTATTAATATTTATTCTATTATTCTTTTTTTTCAATAAGAGGAAATTGTATCTCACAACATCTATGTATATATCTATTTTAGAAAAGACAACGCAAACATTTCGATAAAAACAATGAGTTATTTTTTGAAAAATATTTATATCTCTTATCGCTTCAACATTCTGTTGGAAAGCGTAGATGCATTTTAAAATAGATATATGACGGATGAACAAGAAAAATAATGAAAAATAAATGAAAACGATGATGTCGACATTCACCTCTCCGTAATTGTCTTCCCGCAGCCAGCGCACTCCTGCTGCGTCGAACCATTTTTATTCGTCTCGGATTTGCTCACGTCCATAGTCATCGTGATCTTGGCCACGGCGCCGTCTGAAAAATTTCAAAATATATCGAAACGTTAGAAATATATTCACCTAAACACACAGTTGCAAAATAGTGAATATATTATTATTATTATCATGTTGTTTTTCTCAATTTTTCTAACATTGAAATATGTGTGAGATTCAACTGAAAATAATCACAACACTTCTCCAATTTCACCGCCAATGAGATCCGATATATAGATACAAGATCAAAGTAAAATTTGACTACGTCAGTACTTTAGCTTTGTTTTACGACGAGGAAATTACACACGGCGTCATGTTTCGGGAAGCCGAAATTTGATTTCCCGTTAATGAGAGAACCTCAACCCTGTTCAGATATACAACATATAATATACATTCGCGCATGTTTATAAGGGGCAACTACTGCACGGACGGCTAGCACGCCGTACACGCGTATTCAGTAGTTGTAAGCGTCTCCGGCGTCGTAAGTGGCTGACAGCACGCAATAATTAGCGCAGCTAATTGGAACCGTCTCCGCGCTCGTCCTCGTGCGCCCAGACTCCAATAAGCACTGACGGGTTGCTGCGGAATCTTCCGCTCTCTCTCTCTCTCTCTTTGCATGAAGTTCGTTTTATCTACTGACACATCCAGTGTCTTTCGTTCATTCTTTTTATCAAATGTTAAACAGAATTTCTACGGAAAAATAAATCCTTTTTCTTAAATTATTTTTTGTCTCTTGAATAGAGAAAATCTTTGCAGACTGCATCCATATATTCCTTTAAAAAAAAAAAAAAAAAAAAAATAACAAACGAGCTATATAGCATTCGATTGAACTCGAACTATGTGCATAATCCAAAAGCGACATTTGCAATAATGCAGTTGCGTTCTTCCGAGAGAGACAATCTGCGTAACACTTGGCGAGTAAGAGACTAGCGCGCGAAGGTGACAGCGGGGGTGGTGAGCGAAGTGGGCCGCCGCCACCAACAGCATCAACGCCGCCGTCGCGTACCGTTCAGAAACGACGACGAACAGGCGGACGCGCGGCGGGGGCTTAATTAATTAGCCGGATACTTTGAGTAACAATCCATTATTACATACAAACATCCTCGGCCTCGGGGCCGAGCTGCAGCTTTATGCTGCTAATTGGTCTTCTCAAAGCCGGGAGACCCGGGCACACGAGTTATAAACGCCACTCCTTTCCTCCCTGGCCCCTCTCTTACTCCGGCCCGCAGTCACCACCGCGCCGCGCAGCTCCGCGCACCGAAACCCTCCCTCTTCTTCCCCGCGCTAACCCGCTTTCACTCCCGGTTCCAATTTTCTCTCTCGCTACTACTCACCACCGAACCCCTTTTCTCTCTGTCTCTCTCGCCTCTCGTTATCTCGCTCCGTCCTTTTCCTTCTCTTGTTTCTCCCCTTCTTCATCCTCTTGGCCGCATCACTTCACCCGCGTGCTCCGCAATACACGTAAAACGCATACAATTGCGCGGATACGCTCGCCCACTTTCGCACACATGCGCTAAGACAAAATGGGTGAGAAAGAGAGAGAGAGAGAGAGAGAGGTGGAGGAGACGGGCGCGAGACGGGAGTGCGAGAGTCGGTGGAAAGAGCAAACGAGAGATGAAGGAAAAGCGAGGAGAGAGAGAGAGAGAGAGGTGGAGGAGACGGGCGCGAGACGGGAGTGCGAGAGTCGGTGGAAAGAGCAAACGAGAGATGAAGGAAAAGCGAGAGGGATGTGAGAATGAAGGAAGAGAGAGAGAGGAAGCAGAGCTGGACGGATAGCGCTAATAACGCGCTCGTGACGCAAAAAAAAGGAAGGAGTATAATTGCCAGCCCTCGTGGCAGGTATTTTTCAAATAGGACCCCGTCCGTTAATTGGAGGGCAAATTAAAGAGGCGCCGCCGAGGAAAAAAACATCATTCCCCTCTCTCCCTCCCGCGGCGCGCCTCCACGATCCCACGTCGGTGTATATCCAAGAGCCGTCTCGTGATTCGTCAAACGACCCGTACGCTCCGTTTTTTTCCCTGGATCTAGTTTTTTTTAATGATTTTCTCTCTTGGTCCGATTGATATCGCGATAGAGAATGAAAAAAAAAAAGAAAAAAAAAAAAAAGAAGGATACCATGTGACGTGTCGCTGAAAAACGAGGCTAACGATAACGGTTTTTTAAGCTCTTTGCCCGTTTCCAAGAGACAGACCCGCTTAATGCTAATTATACCGATCGCAATGACCGATCGTTTAGAATAAATCTGATAGATAAATGAGTTCAACCATGTGATGAGGTCGCGACCACCACAAACTCCGGTGTTTCCGTTTTACATGTACGTTGCGCGTCTATCATATTTGATCGCGATCGGTCTGTGCTTTTACAGACGGTTGATAGAGTAAAACATTGAACGTTACTTTGACATTTTTATCGGCAAATAACAAATATCGAAATTGACGATATTCGCGAGCAAATTAAAAGTTCAATCGGCGCGTAGGCCAAAATATCAAACAAAAAAATATTTCGGCAGGAATTAATCGTTTGCGTCGGCAAAAAATTTTCCGTGTCGAGCTTGTTGCGATATGACCGCGAAAAAATTCGCACAAGCCGAATGAAATTTTACGCGTCTTTAATCGCGGTCGTTAACTTTCTTGCTTATTCGGTAGCAATTGAAATTCAACAAATAGAAAACGTTGTATGTAAACAATCGGTAAGTAATAACCACTACGTCTAAACGGTAATCGAATTAAGTAAAACCTTTTAGAGAAGCGAGATGTATTTAGAGACTTGCGTAAAAGTCTTCTGGAAAAACTGGGATAAAGCGTAATTTTTCTGTGAATGCTAATACGCCATCAGAGGATATTGCGACTTGTTTGTCACACTGAACGATCGGCCGTTCTGCGGACAAGGACGTTTCGGATATTGGTATTATCTCGCGGTGTACAGCCGATGTCGTCAGCAACGGACAACGTCAATATTTCGATCGCTTATATAAAACGAAATTGCAAGGACAAATTTTGCTCTCGACGAGATTTACGGCGTCTTTTATTAGCACTAGCCGTCTTATGGAAATTAAACTTTATTGCAGCGACATCTTTCCCGAAAATTTTCGGAAATTTTTGAAACACAGAGAAGTTTCACAATAAACTGCACTCAAAGCAAGAACGGCACAAATCATAATGAAACATATATGTAAATAAATAATTCAATATATGCGATAATAACATAAAAAATGTCAATGTTGTTAATAATTTTAATATCGATCAAGTATTTATTTCGTATATTGCCACGCAATATTGCTTGTATATTATACTGAAAAGTTACAGTTGAAAAAAAGTGACCGCCGTTCTGTGTAACTCAGATCTCGAAGAAATTTGATCCTTCGTTGATAAAATCACTCTCACGTCCGTGTACCGCACGACAGCCCCTCGTCTACGAGATAACATAATCGTAAAGTGCGGCAAAACTGATTTCGAACGTTGTGATTTTACCCGATATGGAGAAACGGTCAATCTCCAAATACAGAATAGAAAAAAAAAAAAAAAAAAAACGGCGGCATTCGATCGTCAAATCGGCAACGGATACGACTTCTTATTTGGTCAATATAAAGAAGCGAGCCCTTCTCCGAAGATTACGAAATTGCCCTAACAGCAATATGGGAGAAATACACTCCTCCTCGGTGTCTCTTGCACCCGCGCGTGTCTCTACAACCCCTCTTCGCGTTTCCCTTCGCCGTCTCTATTCCGGATATCCCGTAGGAGGGAGAGATGGGCAGGGGCCGCTAGGTGGTTTAATAAAAATGTCAAATATAAAGTAGCCGGTGGGGATGGACGTTTAGGAAATAAATAAATGTAAAAGACAGACCGGCGAGAGGAAAGGAGAGAAACCGAAAGCAGGATGGACAGACAGACAGTGGCGGAAGAGCGGGAGACGAGACGGGGGCAGTGAAATCGTCTCGAAGGAGGAGCGGCGGGAATATCGCGGAAACTCGATATATATTATTACGGTTGGAGGTCAGCGTGCGACGCACCCAGCTGACCCAAACTGCGCGCTACTGCATTCGTCGGTTCAATCGAATCGTTTCTTGCGTCGAGAAACTCGTATCGAAGAGTACGCTCAATAAAATATGGCGTTTTCTCGAGCGCGACGAGGAACGGACCGATACAGAGAGAAATTCGTTTATTAATATCCCTGGTTTGTGCCAAAAAATCTTTCAGGACTCTAAAAAGGAACGCCAAGAGAAAGAGATAGAGCAAGCACGACTGCAATTTCGGGGCTTAATAATGATCCCAGTACGACGGCTCCCCAGGCTGGATCCCGTGTCATTATACTACGAAGTGGAGAGACTGCTAATTAGTCATTAGCGTAGGAAAAAGACACCTTCAACCGGCGCAGCTGCAGCTGCGGGATAGCGAACAACCTCATCCGACACGACGACGACGACGACGACGACGACCACGACGACGACCATGACGACGACGATGGCGACGCCGCCGCCGCCGCTGCCGCCGACGACGACGACGACGACGACGACGACGACGACGACGACGACGACAACGACGACGACGACGAGAACGATGCACGGCAAACTTGGGCAAACAGGGTGTAGCTGCGCTGGCCTACGTCTAATTGGACCCTAGCGACGTAAGTTCCACTAATTGAGACCGGCATCGTAACTATCAACACCGCTACAAGGGTCCGTTCGTAAATTCTGAATGGACGAGCAGCGATAACGATACGGATATACCGTCTTCGTCCTGATTGGACGAACACGGAGCGAAACTGCGTCGCGACTCTGCAAACCAACGTCGTCATGCCGGATGAGAGATAATTACAACTTGTAAATTTACTATATTACTATGGTTAATGAGGGCGCGCGCGTAATTAGAATGAGTACCCGTTCCGCGCGTTGCGCATTTCCAACTATGTATAGGTAATGGTCGATTAATTAATAGTCCTCGCGACTGGACCTAAAACCGCCGCCCTATATAATGCGAGAGAGAAAGAGAGTATACGATACGAGGTTTTCGACACGGACATTTCGACAGTACAATGCAAATTAGA